CTCCGTCCCTGCTCCTCCCTCTCAGCCTTTCCATTAGTCTTTTTTTCTTCTGGAAGATCCAACGAGCTGAACCAGCATCGACAGTCTTTCTAAAGAAACTCGGAAAATTAACGGCACTGTTACATTTCTATGTTATTTGCTACATGGGAATTTTTTTAACCCGTTTTTGAAGAACGATGCACTCGTCACTACAGGACGTCTTTACTTTCCTGCCCACGTGCCACTTCAGAGAAGTGCTCAAGTCCTACCTAACCCCCGTCCTGCCCCCTTCAATCTTCCTGCCAGTTACGAGACGATAGTGTTCGAGCACTCTGGGGATCTTCTTCTTGCCTCCAGGAACAGGGTTTCTGTTGATTCGATTCTCATTCAGGTCTGTAGCGACATTGCCAGTGTTGTTAACGCCCGGGAGCTGGGTGCTCGCCTCTCTAAGGTCAGTGTAAATGTGTCAGGGCGGGGTTGGGACTGCCCAGGAGGAACGTGCCCGTGTGCAGCTGCTCCTCCCGCGCGTTTTTTCCTGTGCGTTTCTTGGGGTTCTTGCCCCAGTCCTGACAAAATTTGTCTCGTGTTTAGTGATTATGGAATGATCCAATCTGTGAACTAGTCGGGTGGACAGTAAGAAAGATAGGATGTTTTTGATGTTTAAAAGGTTTGATTTCTTTTTTTATTTTATTTTTTTTTTCTGCTTTTTTAATCTGTCTCTTATGCATGTTAAGTAATCAGCCTGGTTGACTGTGCTAATGGTAGGGATAGAGGGCGCCTGAGTAGAGAGCAGGAGAAATAAAACTGCTGCTCGGATAGTCAGAAGTCACGCGGCTGCTGGTTCAACACGGGGACCTGCGAGGAGCGGGTAGAGCGCGTGAGATGAGGGGAAAAGCTCCTGGAGCCAGCTCGAGCCACCCCTCTCGTTACCTGGGTCCTCCCTTGGGTGAGCAGGAAGCTCTGGCCAGTTCCCCTAGAAGTCAACGAGTCAAGGCCAGAGGCTTTGGTATCGGCCTCAGAATCGGTTTTGAGGTAGTTCTTCGGTTGTGGTGGGGAAGGCACGTTCACGGCCTGGCTGCTGGGCCAAAAGCGTCCGGTCTGAGGGTGGGGAGGCGCGAGATGGAAAAAGCCCTTTCAGGAGACCCGGTGGTGTGAGCGAGCAGGTGTATTTGAAGATTAACACCAAGGAAAAAACAAACAAAACCCGATTTGTAAATGCTCCATAAAGTAATACGTGGTTAATGTAACTTGTGAAGAATAAAATATTTGGACACTTTCTTTGTTATCCCTCTCGCCCAGATGACTGAAGCGAGACTCGTGGTGGGCTCGGGGGGGCGGGGCTC